TGTGCCCTCACTCAGTCCCCACCCCGTAAGTGGGAACAGTGCAGGCTGAGAGAGAACGTGAACACTTTTCCTGCTTCAGCTTCTCTTGATTCCCATGCCAGGAGGCCTCTCTTTTACCTTGTTTCCTCCCCTTTCTACTCCGGCTCTTCTTCCTTGAATTTTCCCAAATGAAAGGCCACTGTGCACTCCTAGGCCTATACCTCTGTCCTGTACAGGGCAGCCTCAGCCCTTCACCAACTTCTGGAGGCACATCTCTCCCCAGTAGGCCCCTGCCTTGTCCTCGCAGCCCAGGCTGTGTCTGTTATAGAAGTGCCTCGTGATTCTAGAAGAGGAAAGACAGCATGGACTAGTTTTCACTGGCACATGTCATTTCCTACACTTGACCTTTTGCAGAAAGCTGATACCCTGGGTCCCATGATTCTGTTAACTGGATTGGTGATCTCAGGTCAAGGCCAAGATGCTAGCACATTGGCTGCTTTACTGCTTGGTGCTTATCTGGAGCTGCTTTAGGCGCCACCACTTGAGGGGTGGGGTGGAGGAGTGGGGCAGGGGGGTGGAATTGGAGGGGAGTGGGAAGAACAGCAAAGTGCCACTGTCCCAAAAACCTATTACTATATAGGATAGTCATTTCTACAGCTTTCCATACTTTAGCAGAATTACAAGACCCCAAAGACTGCTATAAGATAATTTATTACAGATTAGGCAATAATCTTTTGTAACAATGGCACATACAATAATTAACAACAGCAAAGATCCTTAGTTTGTTGTTTCATGTAATGGCTAGTACAGCTGTGGACAACACAGAGTTCACAGGAAGTCCAGGAAGGAAATCCAGGAGGCTGCTACCAAGGATATTACAGGAGCATGTCACATCTCTGAGCAAAGGCCTGGGAAGTCCACATGACCCCCTGAAAGAGTCCGTCTCTGACCTACCAGGGAATGTTGAGGGTCCCCTCCATCTAGCCTGTACGGAGGGATCATAGTCTAAGCTCCTTCTGTAGGGCTAAACATCTATGAGGGGACTAGCAGCTGACCTAGATAAAAGGGAGTGAGGTCAAAGGCTAGATTCTTTCTACAAGGGAAGGGGCAGCCAGAAGGCGGTGGCCATAGGTGAGGACTTGAGGACTCTTTCTAAACTGATTTACAAAATTTTTGGCTTTGTTCAGGGGCCTACCCAAGAAGAAAATACAGATCCTTCAACTAGCCCTCAGGTGCATCCATATAACAACAGCTTCTCATGTCCTAAAGCATCACTCCCCTTCCTACAGGAGTGAGGTAGGGGGACTCCTGGGAAAGTGACCCCTGGTGCTTGGGTTCCAAAAAATATTCTGCTCAAGGCTCTGAAGCACCATGTGAAACTGCTTCTGTTCATCACAGGTTAACTCGTAATCTGGGGGAGGGGATTAGCACAGCTCATTTCTAGAAGGTATCTTGTTCAGTTTCAAAGCCTTGTTCTCACTGGAGCCACAAAAAACCAGCGTATTCTGTTCAAGGGACAGTCTGAATTCTATTCTGTATGCTCCTGCCCTGGCCAGACTCGAATCCCAACGCCAGGGCTCAGTGATACCTATAGGCTCAACTGACTGCTTAGTTAGCCAAGCACAAGCTCCTGGCCCTCTAAACTTGTTCTACTAATGATTGGTACATATGGGTCCAACTGGATAAGGTGTGGTCTGGAGAGGGGTAAATGTGGGGTGTGGGGTGGAGGGATGTCTACCAAGAATGGCTGACACTCTCAGAAATGTCTGTCCTTCTCTCTTTATGGAAAATCTCCCTATGTGGTAACTCCCACAGCCCAGCATCTAGCACCACAGACCTGCTGGTCAGGGATTCATGACCCTTTCTGTGAAAAGCCAAATTCTTACCACCTCAAATTTTTTCTTAAATTTTCTTAACTAAAGGAGTCAGCCTCTTGATAATGAGGACCCTAAGCTGGCTACATAGTAACTCCTACTGGCCCTGACTTGTGGAACTGGTGCCATCTGGTTGGCACAGGAGCTTAGCTCCCCTCTTCCATGGAACGAGACTCCGATTTGAGCTTCACAAACTCTCGAGCCACTTCATCATTGCTCCTCTGAGACAGAATCCGAAGAACGGTCATGCCTGTCTCATCCATGTGGATCTTCCGGCCCAAGGGGCACCAGCAGGCACAGCTGCCCTTGGCTGCCACATCCCTCAGAGGCATCACAGCCAGCCCTAGAACGCGATCCTCCCGGGCAAAGCAGTAGTCCTTCACACATATTTGCAACTCATAGGCTTCCGGCCCCTCTTCATTTCCCAGGAGGCTGTGAGCACAGGGTAGGTGGAAAGCAGGAGGCCACAAATGAAGGAGTCTTCCCCTGAATTCATCCCAGCTGCCATCCAGCCCATTGCCCCTCTCCCCTCTCAAGCCTCATCCCCCAGAGCACCCCCATCCCAGGGTCCTGCAGGTCCCCCACTCCATAACTTACAAATGAAATGTCTCATTGTACTTGGGGGCCCAGTTGTTGCTTTTTGACTTGGTCGTGAACTTCCTCTTCTTATCACTTTGGTGTGGGCCAACCATGGTCACTTCCACAAAGGGCCGGAACATACCCGCTGTCTGCCACTTGAGGTCATTGGCAGCCACAACTTCTCAAACAAAGAAAACTTGTGAGGGACCCCACCAAGCATGCCCAGTTCTTGAGCCCCAGGTGGCATTCCCCACGGAGGAGGGCTAAGCTGCAGGGCTGGGATAAGCAGCCCCTGCTTTTGACTGATGAGGCCACTGGGCAAGAAAAGGTCTGAGACCTGTAAGTCCATGCCACTCACCTTTCACTGTGACCTTGTGCTCCCCAGTTCCAGGATGAGTAAATAAGTCCACCTGAATAGAGACTTCTCCCACAGGGTCATCCACACCAGACCCTGCAGGACAGATGACAGATGATCCCCCACTGGAGAACTCTAAGACTTTAGACCTAATTGTTCCAGGTAAAACTGAGGAGTTAAGAGGCCACCACCTTACACCCTAAAGCAACAAACAGTCACCCACAATCGCCATGGCAGTGGGAGAAGCAAAGAAAGGGGATAAAGAATGAGCCTGTGTATTAAAATACAAGTTAGGCTAATAAAATCTTAGGTAAAATTTCTTCCAAAAATGCACGGGGAATCTCTCAGGTTCCCCAAACCTCTCCTATCTCTTAGGCGAAAGAATTTTCCATTGACAGATATTGGGGGAAGGAGAGTGCTGCCACCCTGTGTCTCTGTTTGGGAACTATGTCCACCCCACAGTGTCTTAATGGAACAGTGTGGGTCCCTTCTAACCCAGGGCAAGCACCCCCGTACCTATCCCTGGATTCCTGGAGGCCCCTGCTTGGGAGGGGGCCCGGCTCAGAAACTTTGTCCTACTCAAACCGGGACCTCTCCACAAACAGCTCCCCAGTCCCAATGTCTGGCAAATTTGCAGGCTCCCCTAAGCAGAGGCTTCATTCTGTTTTGAGAAAACACCAGTACCCTGCACCCTAGATAAATCTTTGTCCTAAGGTGGAGGGGAGGAGCATTCTGAGGACAGAACGACTGCTAACCCCATCTCAGACTGCATGAATATAATGCCCATCTCTGAGACCTGGAATAGAGCTTCTGAACTTGGGACACCTGGTTCCCCCACCCTCCAACATAAGCAGCTCATTCTAGTTCACAGGGGACAGTGTTTAGCCCATGGTAGAGTCACATCTGTATGATGTATAACGTACCCTTTTCCGGCCGAATGTCCTCATTAGCAGTAAACCTAATACCTTTCCCATCATGCACTGAGTGAGGACAGGAAAGTCAAGAGGTAGTAGCAGCAGGAGGACAGAGAAAGAAGAATCAGTTAGTGATCTACGGCATTAACAGCCATTCAGAGCAGCTCTACACATATTCTGAGGGAGCACAGATATGGGGTAGGGTAGAGAGAAGTCAGAAAGCTGGGGTCAGTGCCTGAATGCTCCAAAGTAGACTTCATGGGCTGACCACCAACTAAATCATGGGCAGAAGCAGAACATACAGAGAGAGAAAGTATCTGAGACCAGTGGGGCAGGAAAGAGAAAGGTTATAGGCTCTAATTTTCTAGGCCCTTAAACGATAAAGCAACAGGTAGAAAATGTACACACATAAACTCGGATCCTCCCTGCAGTCCCCACTCCTGCTCTTGCCTCACGTGTGCCCATTCCGGCCTCGCCTCATTTTTATATTTAACTTAAAGCTCAATGTTTCTAAACTGCCTTTCTGGATTAACTCAGATCCTCCCTGATGTTACAAGGCCTTTACATGTACTCAGCTCTGTAAAAGTTCTCTCTGTCCCCCTGAGCAAGCCTCCTGACTTCTTTTGTGCTCTCTTCTTCTCACCCTGGACTTGAAATAAGAACAGATGTGGAAAATGGAGCAGTATTGCAGTCCCCATGTATCTTTTTACCTTGCATCAACTCCAGTCTAACTGCTTAGATCCCTCTTTCCCTCCAGGTCAGGCCTATGCTCCAGACCCACAGCTCAGCAAGGCCTAAGCCTTCCCTTCCCACTCCCTCCTCCACCAGCTTCACTCCCCAGGCAGCATGCCCAGGTTTCCCTGGAACAAGCAATAACAAATGTGCCTGAAGGTCCTTCCAGGGAGGGCCCTGCTCCAGGGTCAGGGTCAGAACTTCAGTCTGAGCCACGTTTATGCAGATGTGTTTTGTTACGGATAGGCTTGCTAGAGGAAGGGAGGGGTTCTGAGGACTGGAATTCACTGGGAAAAAACCAGCTGCCTGGGTCTCCTGCACATTAGCATGACCCAGGAGGCTGGAGCTCAGCCATGCATGTGATCTGCGCCCTCCCTTCAACTGCTCCCATGGTTTGCCTCTCCTAGTCTTCTCGTCCACACTGGAGAATCTGGAAAGTCTTTTGCTTTCTTGCCCCAAGACAACTTCCAACTAAGGTTCCCAAAGCTATGAGTCTCACTGGTGTCTCAACCACTCATTCTCAAGGCTTCCTCACAGATATTTCCTACCAAACAGGGTACATCCCTTGAGCTCAATAAACATGCACTGCCCAGGCAATGTCTGGGAAAGAAAATCTCAGGCACATTTCCCAAGTCCCTGTGATCCTCCTGTCTGGTATGGGTATGGAGTGGGGGTAAGTATTAGGGTCCCTCAAGGAATTCTGGGGTCTGAGTTTGAAGGGCTCTCTGAAGAAGTATCTGGGTCCTGCTAAGGGCCAGAGGACACTGACTCTCTAGGGGCAGAGGTGTCTCAGGGAGGGAAGGTGGGGACCCAAAGCCCTTAGGCCTTACCCTGAGCAGTCTGTGAGCGTACAAAGGTCTTGATGAGCGTGTCTGTGGTCTGTGTGTACAGAGACAGAGCATAGCGTAGGGACTGCAGATCGGGGCTCTTCTCCAGGAAGGTTTTCTTCAGCCCGTTGCCTCCTGCATGAAAGTATTGCTGAAAGACAAAAGAGTACCTGCTGCTGCCTTATTTCCTTACAGAAAGACAGCTCTCCAACACTGTCCTCAGAGAGATTACACCTAAGCAGAGGCTCAACGGAGATGCCAGAGGAGGGTGGTGAGGACAATAAGCCATTCAATAAACAAGATCAGGAATACCACACAGAGCCAGAGTTACAGTCTCTCGAGTAAAGAGTGTTACTGGGGTCTCCGGCAGGAACTGTAGAGGATGGCCACGTTCCTGGATGTGGTGTTTGAAGGATGGATCCATCTGGACAGGCGATGATGTGGGATAGAAGCCTTTCAGGCAGAGGTGGCCAGAAGTGCTCTTTTCCTGCTCTGAGCTCTTAGAGAACCTTACACCTATGACATACCTCTCCCGAGGGCTGCAGATCCCAGCTCCTATGTATCCACCTTATTACCGCCTTACCAGATTAGTAGCATCTTGAGGCTAGGAACCATATCTGAGTCTCTCTACAGCCTTCCTAGTGCATGTAGTGCCTGGTGCATGTTGGCTGGTTGAATGAATAAACGGGTAGTAGAAAAAAATCCTTTGAAAATCCAAATGACTTTATATGTAAGTGAAAGAAAGAAACTTAAGCCACATCTGGGGTATTAGGATTAGAAGATTAAGTCCCAGTAGAAAATAAGTGAACTGAATATGTTCAATTCAGAACTCAGGAATAGGTATTCCAGGTCCATGGTGAATCACCTGACACCACACAGGAGGTGCCTTTTTGGTTGCTCCCAAGCAGGAATTTGGACATAGCAGAGAAAGAAATGGACATAAAAACCACTCTCTTCTGGATGTGGGGTGGCAAGAAGCTGAGGGACACCTAGTCTGGCAGAGTGGAATGACTGTCTGGAGGTGGGGGAGGTCTCCACCTTGATGGTGTCCAGGGCGAGGTCAAGGACGGCACACTGCTTTGGAGTCAGATTCCGTGTTTCTTCTCGCACCATGTGGTCCTGGAACCACAGAGAAAGCAACAGGATCAGGACAGCTTGGGGCTGTCATGTAAGTCTCGCCCCCACCTGCCAACCCACAGTTCTTCTTCCTTCCCTCATCTTCAGTTTCCAATGCTCGAAGGCACCACACCATGCCCCCCAGCCTCAGAAGGGCTCCACACATCCAGAGTACCTTGAGTTTGGAAAGATGGCTCAACTCCTTGGCAGCAGTGAAGATCAGTTGTGTGCCCTGGGCAGAGAGAGAATCAGTCAAAAGTAGAGGACTCCAAACTCGGTCAGGAAGCGTGGAGCCAGGGAAAGGAGACAGGAGGAGGAAGTAGAAGGGAAGTGGCCCTACCGTCTGGTCAGTGAGGGGGGGCAGAACAATCATCCGTTCCAGTGTGTTCATTACCACCCGCCACAGCTCCTTCAGTACACGTTTCAGGACTGTCTTCTCACATACAGTGGCGAAGAGGGTGAGGCTGCAGACCAGGCAACAGGTAAGGCTGGGGTAGGTCATGAGAGGCCCCGCCCCCAAGAGGCTCCTCTGTCTGATGGCCTCTGCCTGGCTTGTCCCCTCAGGACAGTCCTGCATGCTGGACTCACTTGCCATCCAGGAAGTCCATGAGAGGCCGGAGCACACTATCTGCGTCCTGAGCCACCGAGGCCCTGGCGTTGGGGGATGCATTCCCTGGGCCCCGCACGTGGCCCAGAATGTCGGCCATTTGACGAACACACTCATCAATCCGCACCTGGAAACTACAAGGTGCCCACAGTGCAGTGCCCCTGCCCAAACACACTGTCCCTGGAGCAGCACCAGCTATGTGATCCCACTCCAGCAGGGGCAGCCAGCAGGAGGGAAGATTCACACACCTGCAGCTGGGCAGGTCTGGGGCAGGGGCCTTGGGACTGGCCAGGCACCACACCTGGCTCTGACAGCAGTGTGTGCTGGGGCCACTGACCTGTTTCCAAACACCATGCTGAGCTCATCCAGAACTGTATTCAGTTTCACCTGCAGCTCTTTCAGACTGTCAGCAGCTTCAGGGTCCAGCTGTAAGCACAGGAGGTGGGCTTGGCTAAGCTGGTTCTGTTACTTTCTTCTCCCCTCCTGTACCCCCACTCCTCCCTCCTAGGGCCCTTACCTCAATGCCTACTAGAATTTCTCAGCCCAAGCCAGCCCAGGCCCAAAGCTAAACTCCCAGCCTATATCCAGTCAAGAGAGAGTGGAGGTCTGCAACCAGGGAACTCAGGAACAAGGGGAACGTGTAGCAACCACAAACCCGAAGACCTACTTCCTTGCCTCCCATGGCCTCAAACATTTTCTCCAGCTGGACCCTCAGTTGCTGCATGTTGTTCATCAGGATACAGGGCTTTGGGGAAAAACAGAGCTGCTTTCACCACAGGACCCATCAGCCTAGGGTCCCTTCCTCTCACACTACTCCAAAAGCCACAGTGAATTTATGACACGTATTACATGTGTCTCTCCCTAAGCACTGAGATCTGGAAGCAATTCAGACAATTCTCCATGAAAGAAGACTAGAGGCAAATGTTTCTGCTTTTAAGCCAGGTGGTGGACCCCCAGGTGTTCCTGGTATTATCTTTTATAACTCTTTGAATATCTCAATATTTTTATTTAAAAAAGAAGACTAAGCAAAAGTCTAGCTTAGTAGGGGATAAAGTACCAAATGGAGGCTCAGAGGGACTTCTATTCAAGTTATTATTTTGTGGCACAATCTGAAGCGAAGGCCTGCTGGGAACAGAAGTCAGGAGCACCACCCCACCCTCGGCTCTGAGGAGAGCTTCAGAAGCAAGAATTCAAGTGCCTTCCACTCCCTTCGCTAAGGGTCCCGGGGCCTGGCCCTCACCATTTTCTCCTTTGTGCAATAAGCGGGGAAGTTCTTTGACAAGATGTCTGCATACTGCATCAGCACCTTCCCGATGGTCTGAGAAAAGGAGAGGGAACCTTTAGCTCTCCCAACAAGGATCTTGCCTGAGAGGTCATACCTCTCATCCTAGGACAGTAACAACATGGAGGTAAAGAGGAATCTCACAGTAAGGGACAAAGTTCCCTCTCAGCCCCTAAACAGCACTGGGACAAATGCACCTAACTGCCCCAGACACAAACAAAGGAGAATGGGGTCACACTGGGCTTCGCCTGAAGGCCACCTCCAAGAGGGGTTGAGCTCAGGCTGTCAGTGTGATGGTGGTAAGGGAAGCGGGTAGGGAGGGTCATGGTCACCTTAGCAAATCTCCTCATGTAGTGGGCAAGGATGTTGGGGTCTGGGCATTCCAGCTTCCGGATGATCTCAAAGCTCTGGTTGAGCTGTGTGAAGACGTCCACCACCGAGCAGGAAAACAGCGCATGCTCTGATGTCTGCTGGAACTGAGGAAGACCACACACAGGGTCATCATCCTCAGCTACTGCCTTTTTCCAAGTTCACAGGGTTATAAAGGGCTTTGCCCAGCATAGGGTGGCTCTGGCCCTCAATAGCCCTCCTATGGATTCAACAGGGAAGGGATGGCCAACCCGGCTAAAGCCCAGGAACATTTACTGGCTGCTAATTGCTGGAGACCTGGCCTCACCCCTGTACAGCCCAAGCCCCCAACTTACCCCATCCTTCTTATCTCGTTCCAAGGCCCCACGCAGGAATTCCAGGGACACATCCTCATTCTCGTCCAGCCATTGTAGGACAAACTGTTCAAACCAGCTGCAGCCAGGCAAGAGAGGTGAAAGTTGGAGCTAGTGCTTGGCATATGCCATGTGCCCGACAGCTCCCCCAGACTTGGGGTCTTCTGGCAGGTAGGGCCTGGTTTGATATGCGTCTCTCCAGCAATGCCCAGAACAGGCAGTCTCAAGACCAGCAGTTCTCAACCTTCCTAATGCCGCGACCCCTTGATACAGTGCCTCATGTTGTGGTGACCCCCAACCATAAAATTATTTTCGCGGCTACTCTATAACTGTCATTTTGCTGCTGTTATGAATCCTCATGTAAATATCTTTTTGTTTTCCGATGGTCTTAGGCGACCCCTGTGAAAGGGTCGTTCGACCCCCAAACGAGTCGCGACCCACAGGTTGAGAACCGCTGCTCACGGCTGCCTGATGGAGCTGAACTGAAGATGAGGGCCCCGCCCGCCCGCTAAGCCAGAGGGGCCCTCTCCCCTCCCCCGACGGCGCCCGCTCGATGACTCACGCTGGGTACTCAGGCACCTGCCCCTGGAAGGCCAGCAGGTCCTGCACATATTCATTGTGGAGCCACTTCACCTTGAAGTGCAGGTTCATGTAGTCAGCGCTCTTACACAGCCGGCCTTTCTCGTGCTCTAGGGATAGGGAGGGAGGCTGGCTCAGATTCTGGCAGGAGAGGCCCTGGTTCCCGAGTTTTCCCTAGGCGGCAGGTCCAGCCAGGCAGTTCTATCAGATGTCTAATAAAAAGGGTGAGTCCCCACCACCTCCTCACATCCATCTGCCACCACCAGTGAGTACTCTGCTCTCCAGAGCCTGGCCCGACTCCAGGTAAGGCCTACAGTCCTTGCCCTGGCTTTTGGAAGTGTCAAGTGAGGTACTGGCCTCTGGTGAAGAAGAGGAGAAAGGGATGTGGGAGCAAATGCTGATTAGTGGGGAGATTGCCCAGGACTAGAGAGGGATGACGGTGTTCCAGGGCCTTTCTACCCCCAGTAGCTTAAATGCAGACTTAAATGCAGAGACGAGCAGTTGTATATGACATGAATGGGTCAATGACAACTACACAGAGAAGGAAAAACCAGAGTGGACCCAAGCTGACAGAAATTGCAGCTGAGCAGCCATGCTGTAACAGAATCTTGATGTACACTGAAGGGCCCCAGAGCTGAGCTGAGACACTGAATACTGAACTCTTGAAGAAATATGCAAATAAGAAGAGTCAGTTTGGAAACCATGGAAACACAGCCAGATGAAAGGGATGCTCATAATAGACTTGAAAGGTCATGGCTGAATCTCCAGGGCCTTCTGGAAAATCTAGGACAAAGATCACCCACAGCTTGACCAGAGAGTCTGGGCACTGGCCTCATGCACAGGTTCTCTTCATCTGCCCCCTTTATAGAGGAAGCATTAATCTGAATAATAAAAGCCAATTTTGTGTGCTTATAACAAAATGGTAAAAGCAAGCAAATGGGGGAAGAGTACTGAGCAACAGAGAAGGCAGGCCAGCGTCCTTTGGAACTCTGTTGCTCAGCTGTGCGTTTCCAGGGCTGATGTTCCTCCAGGTCCAGGCAGAACATCCAACCTGGGGCAGCCGGCCCTTCTGAGTGAGTGCAGCAGACACACAAGGAGGAAATCGGAGCCTGGGATTCAGCCTCTAAGGGCTCTGGGTCCCCAGAATTTCCTCTCCTGGCACAGCCGGCAGCACCACCTCACCCTGAAGTTTCATTTGCAGTCTCTTCTAGGAAGCAGTGAGCAAGAGAAGAGGAAAAAATATAAGACTAGAGAGATAAAGGGACAACCACCAAAAGTTCTTCCCACCCAGAAAGAGGATTTTTCGTATATGAATGACAGTGGATGCTTGTGACAGAGCAGACACCGATGAATAATAAAGAGAGTGAAAAAAATCAGGGGCATTAGAGAGACCCTATCAGGGCTTGCCCCTTCTCTTCCACCCCATACCCTGCTGTCCTGAACCATAAAAAGGTACAACCAGGAGGGTCCTTCTGTCTTCCTGTGCAGCAACCCACTGGAAGTGGAGGCAGTGCTGCTCCGTCATTTAAGAGCTCCCTAACTGCTTTCTTCTAGGGATCTGCAAGTTATTGCATTTACATATAATTCTCACTCTTTCTGTCAATCCATTATCTGTACTCTGGTCCCAAACCCCAATTTCTACATTAACTTCTGTGGTACAAAAACTAACAGGATGATTGCTGAAACACTGGTCACACTTTATACTATTCTAACAAGTCCATGGAGTCATGCTCCAGAAAAGTTGCTTGAGGTTACTGTTGAGGGGTGGGGGTGGGGGTGTGGTTAATCTGTCAAAAGGGGCAAGCCCCTGACTTCAAATTCCTCCTCCATTAATTTTTCATCCTTGGAGAGGTCTTTCAACCTCATGATTTCAATTATCCAGCTTGCTGATCATCTTCCCCAAATCTCTCTTTGGTCCTGGCAATGTCTATATAAGGCTCTGAGGGACCATCTCACTTTGCCCAGGTTTAACTCGAGTCCCTAACTTTCACTATCTGAACATCTCCAGCTGAAGTTGAACAGAGTATCCACTCTAATCTTACCCTCTTGTTCATGCTGAGAATCATCATCAAGTCTTTCTTCTTCCTCTTTACTCACATCTAGTTAAATCACCGATCCCTGTTGATTTCACCTCCAAAACTTCTCTGGAATCTATCCATTTCTTTCTAGTCACACTATTACCTAACTAGGTCTAACCTAGATTACTACAATAGTCTCCAAACTGGTCATTCCTCCTCCAGTCCATTCTCTATGCTGTAGCCAGAGTGAGTGGCCTTCCTACATTACAAATCTGATCACGTCAATCCTTTGTTTAACATACTTCATTGGCTCCCAACTGCCTCAGGATAGAGTCCAAACGCCTAAACATGGCTTACAACCTTTATGATCTGGCTCTGTCCTACATCTCTATCCTCATCTCTTTTGTCTCTTCCCTTACACTCTAAAGTGTTAGTCACATTGAACTACTGCTTCCTGTTCCAGACAGCATGCCAGCTCGCTCTAGACTCCAGGTCTCTGAACACACTATCCTCTCCTTAAAATGCTACCCTCCCTCCTCACTGGCTAAGTCCTATCATCCTTCAGGTTTCAGTTTGCACATCACCTCCCTCAGGAAGCCTTCCCAGGTCTGGGTTACATGGTTCTCCTCTCAGGACCTTATGCTTATTCCTTTTGTGGCACTTATAGCTTTGCATTGTAACTGCCAATTTACATGTGACGTCTAGACTAGTCTGTGAGTTTGTCATGGGCTGGGGCTATGCCTCATTCATTTGATTTGGGGCTCCAACAACTAGCATAGTGCCTAGCACAAAGAAAACGCTCAATAAGCATTTGGTGAATGAGGTGGGGATTTACTGCAAAGGAGCGTGAAGAAACTTTCTGTTCTGTATTTTAATTGGGATAGTAGTTACCCAGGTGTGTTTGTCAAAACTCATCAAATTGTACTCTCAGTGTTTTTACTTTATTGTATATAAATTATACCTCAATAAAGTTGACTTAAAAAATAGTAGGTAAGTGATAGCATTTTCACAGTCGAAGTCAACACTATTCTTCTATCACCCAGGTACCCAAACTCTACCCCTTCACTTGCCCTCCATATTCTGAGAATCACTAAGTTCTGGACAACCTCCTTCCAACGTTTATCAAAGCCCATTCTTCCCTCTCCATTTCTTTGTTCTAATCCCAGCCCCCTCCCCTCAGCCCTCAATTATTACAACATTATCTACACTCCCTGCGTCTGATCTCTTCCTGTTCCAGCTGCCCTGTTTTCCACTGAGGTAAAATCTTATAAACATACTACTTTGTTCATATTATATCTCTGCTCATGAGCCTACAATGGTTTCTTATTGTCCTTGATAACTAAGATTTATTAAGTTCTGAGTAAATTCCAGGCACTATGCTAAGTATGTTACATGCCTCTCAGCTACTTCATGAGCTCAATGAAATACATGCTGTCATCACTCTCATTTTACAGATGAGAAGACAGGCGCTCATAAAAATTAAGTAGCTCAGTCTAAGATCACACTGCTGAGCAGCTGGTGAAATTGAGATGTTAACATTAGTTCTTTCTCTTAAAGCAGCTTTTTACCCTTTTGTGCTTGTTTTAAACATTAGCAGAACTCCCTTTCAAAATAAATCTCACACCAGATAAGATTGGTAAAAGCAGAGCTAACTTAGCCGGTACCAGGTCAAAGGCCTGGAGCCCAGCTTCCTGGCTTTCCCTTCTCACTTAGCTCCTGAGAACCTCTGTTTGAAACCTCTGTCCCACCTCGCACTCTCTCTCTTGTGGAATTGATTCACTTTTCATAGGCACTTATCTTTCCCCCCAGATCCACTGCCAAGACCTGGGACCATACTCCCCATCAGGCTCTCCTAGTGCTACCTGGAGGACAGGGACAAGTGACCTCCTCACTGGCCTGACAGGCTAAGGTGTGGGCTATAGCCCCAGGCTTGACGCAGTGTGGGCAGGAGGCGGCCACTGCTCTGGGGTGGAATTATAGAATGTGTGTGACAGTCTGTGGTGTCTCAAACTTAACACATATCTGGAAGTTTTTTCAGTCTCAAAATTAAATGATCCGACAGAGAACAGATTGGTGGTTGCCAGAGGCGAGGGGTGAGGGTGAGTGAAATGAGTGAATGCAGTCAAAGGTACAAACTTCCAGTTATAAGATAATTAAGTCCTGGAGATGTAATGTACAGCATGGTGACTACAGTTAATAACACTGTATTGCATATTAGAAAGTTGCTAAGAGAGTAAATCTTAAAAGTTCTCATCACAAGAAAAAAAACTTTGTCTAACTATGTATGGTGATGAATGCTAACTAGACTTATGGTAGTGATCATTTTTGCAATATACACAAATATCAAATCATTATGTTATATACCTGATGCTAATATAATGTTGTATGCTAATTATACCTCAATTAAAAAAACCTTATTAATCATAAACCTCAAAAAGTTTAGATCTAAGGGTTGCCTATTTCCCCTGCCACTCCACACAATAATAGATCCAGACTGCTTTGTCCTTGCCCCAGACTGCTCCCCCTCCTTCTAGGTCCACTTTCACAGAGAAAGGAGATAGACTAATATATATATAGAGAGAGAGAGAGAGAGAGAGAGAGACAGGCAGGAAAGGCATCTAAGTAAGTGAGCACAGATGGGTGCAAATGGGAAGTAGGGAATAATATCTTTGTGGACCGAAGTGGGAAATGAATAAAAGAATAAGCTGAATGAACAAGATGAATAACAATGTTCTGTGACCTTGCTCTACAGAAAAAGTGAGGGGAAAACTATCTTTGTGGCTTTCTCACACCAATCCAGAACAGTTTTCAAGGAAAGCTAGGCCAGGCAGTCCCCAGTGTGAGAAAACAATCTTATCTAGGTATTTAAGGGCTATGATTCTTTAAAACTGTAAAGATAAGTTTCACAAGACCATTCTCTAGGGAGTGGGCCACTTGCAAATGCCCAGCATGGGAGGAGTTGATCTCTGGGCTGGGAAAGTCTTAAACAGTACTTGCTCTAAAGCTGGAAGAATCTACATCCACAAAGCCGTTTCCATTATTCCTTTGGCTGAAGCTTTGCCCGCCCAAGACCCCCTGAAGCCTACCACCCACTATGCCTAGAATCCCTCCAGTTTCTCACTGTACCCTTCACCCTGAACTTGCAGTTGTCTGGGAGAGGGAAGAGACAGCAAACGAGGTGCTTGGACTAGGGCCCTGCAGCCCACTGCCTTGGGCGCACCCTTACCCTCCAGTGCGTATTTCATGTCTTGGGCAAAGAGCTGCCACATTACTTCTGCGCTGACTTTTCCCACATTCAACTCCTGAGGAAACCTGGATGATGAAAGAAGCCACAGTTAGAAAACAAGGCAAGAACCATTTGATTTGACTGATTCCAAAGCTAACGTGCCTAGTTTTTGGAGGTCAGATTGAAGAGAGGAGAAGCCTGGAAACAGGGCTAGGCTCATTCTCAAGAAAAAGGGCTCAAGGGCCAGCAGTAGGACAAGTAGGGGCAGATCCCCTCAGGCAAGGTGGGCCTGGGGAGAGGGTGACCAAAAGGCAGGCAAGTGAGGCCCAGAGGAGAAGGGTTGAGGCTGGAGGGGAGGCCCCAGCTAAATAAGCTGGAGGAGAAAGGACAAGGAGGTGGGCTATAAGGTAGCCCACTTTATTCCCAGCAGACAGACACATACACACATGGTCTCTGGATCCCCTGGGACTCCTATGGCAGCTATTCCCAGAGGCCTCTTATTCCAGGGAGGCTGGTTCAGTCTGGGCAGGGCCCCCCATTATGTTTCCACACTTGTCTCCAGAAACAGTTACCCAGACAGATACAAGGGACAGAGGGACAGACGGACGGACAGGAGGAAGAGGTGGCACTGCAAACACACAGAGATAGGAAAGAAAGAGGCTGTTAGAAAGATGGACAAACCAACCACCAACCAGACAGAGTCAAGTGGGGTGATACTCACTGGTTCAGAACGAGTGTATAGGAATTCTTATCTTCCTCTATGATTGACACAATGAGCGTGATGAGTTTGGGCCAGAAATCCAGGTTCCGAATGCTGGGTCCTTGTTCCTCTGGAGGTAGCTCCTGCTTCTTGTTCCAGAGGAGACAGTGTGAGTCAGAATAAAATGTGAAGAGTGTGTCCAGTCTTCCTCTTTCTCTTCTCCTCCCCACGCCCTTTCCTCTAGAATCAGGTATTCTTCCTCTCCTAGAGCCTGTCTTCCACAAGACTGCCCCTGTCTGGAGTGACTGTTGGGAGGTCCTTGGACACAAAGAGTTCATCCCTGAGAACTTCTCTCCCCAGCTCCAGGACACTGATCTGATAAGCTTGGTCAGTCACAGAGATATAAAGATGCCCATCCCCCCTTCCTCAGTAGCTATGGGTATTGTGACTCCTTGGCCAAAGTAAGTAGCCCCTCCAGTCTCCCTAAGTAGGTCTGGTTCCATGTGACCCCCACTGGCAGCCCTCCTCTGATCGCCCCACCCCCACACACATATATACACCTCTCAGCTCTAAGAAGCTACTTCAAGCTCTGCAGGGGCTACTGAAGTATGCAGGTTGGCCTAACCTTCAGTGGGTTAGGACTTCCTTTAACTCTTGGAATGTCATTGGGGGAAAAACTGCATCTAGGAAGCTACTTGCCTAGCTGGATAAGAAAAGGACTTGGGGAGCCAAGAATACCCAGTGGGGAAAGGATAGTCTCTACAATAAATGGTGTTTGGAATGAAATTGGGCCCCTATCTTACAACATTCACAAAAATTAACGTCAATGGATTAAGGACTTAAACCTTAAAACTCCTAGAAGAAAACATAGGGAAAAAGCTGCTTGACATTGGTCTTGGCAATGATTTTTTTGGGTATGACATCAAAAGCAAAATGCAACAAGTGGGACTACATCCAATTAAAAAGTTTCTGCACAGTAAAAGAAACAATCAACAAAATGAAAAGGAAACCAATGGAATGGGAGAAAATATTTACAAACCACATATCTGATAAGGGGTTAATATCCAAAATATATAAGGAACTCATACAACTCAATAGCAGAAAAACAATCTGAATCAAAAGTGGGTAAAGGACTTGCATAGACATTTCTCCAAAAAAGACATACAAATGCTCAACAAGCACATGAAGAGGTGCTCTGTATTACTGATCATCAGGGTAATGCAAATCAAACCACAATGAGATGTCATTTCACACCTGCTAGAATTCGTATTATCAAAACGATGAGATGTAACAAATGCTGGTCGGGATGTGGAGAAAAAGAAACCCTGATGCACTATTGGTGGGAATGTAAATTGGTGCAGCCACTATGGAAAACAGCATGGAGGTGCCTCAAAAAATTACAAAGAGAACTACCATATGACCCACTTCTAAGTATATATTCAAAGGAAATGAAATCACTATCTTGAAGAGATATCTGCACCCCATGTTTACTACAGCATTATTCACAACCTAAGTGTCCATGAATGAATAAACGGAGAAAGAAAATGTGGTATATAAGTACAATTATTATTCAGCCATAAAAAAGAAGGAAATATGTCATTCACAAAAACATGCATGGACCTTGGGGGCATTATGCCAAGTTCAATAAGTCAGACAGAAAAAGAGAAATACTCAATGATCTCACTTATATGTGGTATCTAAAAACATTGCATTTAGGGCCGTCCGAGTGGCGCATTGGTAAGAGTTGGCTTGGGATGCCAGCTCTGAGCAGCAGGACCCCGGTTCGGATCCCACATGAGGGCCAGTGACACTGTACCCTCTACAGCTAAGATGGTGAACAACAGCTCGACCTGGTGCTGGGCTGCCATGAGTCGCCGGCGACGGTGTAGGCTGCAGTGGAGCTGCAGTGGGCTCCCGTAAGCTACCGTGAGTGGCCAGCAGCCGGCATGAGCTGCCAAGAGCCGCCATGAGCGGCTGTCCAGTGGCTGGTGACCGATCTGCCTCAGCCCGGGAAGAGCGCAATGATAATACCAACATGGGCCAGTGAAGCGACATCCTCCACAACTAGACCGAAGAACAAAAGGACAGCAACTTGTCTGTTCCCCTTCCCCAATTCCCCAACGCTGTTCCCCTCCTCAATTCCCCAATAAAATCTTAAAAAAAATATATTGAATTCATAGAAACAGGGAGTAGAATGGTGGTTGCCAAGAGCTGAGGGGTGGAGAAGATGGGGAGATATTGCTCAAAGCATACCAACTTTCAGTTATAAAATGAATAAGTTTTGGGAGATCTAAGGTACAGAATGGTAACTATAGTTAACAGTACTGTATTGTATGTTTGAAAGATGCTATGAGAGTAGAGATTTAATGTTCTCACCATAATAACAACAACATAATGGTAATTATGTGAAGGTTGTGTTAACTAACCCTATTGTGGTAAAATTTCACAATATATATGTGTATCCAATCATCACATTGTACACTTTTACACAATGTTATGTGTCACTTATATCTCAATAAAGCTGGGGGAAAAGAAAGAAGGAAAAGGCCTTGTTGGGAAGAGGTAAAGGAATGCAATGGTGTATTCAGGAAAGGAGAAACAACTCTACATGTAGACCCCAGACAGGGCAAGTAGGGTCACCACAAAGAGGCTGGAATAGATATTTACCTCCCACTGGGACAAAAACACCCAGAAAGACAGGGATAAGGCTTTTATGTAGATGCCATATGTCATCACAAAGTCTCCACAGTCCTTCATAAGCCCACATTACCAGGAGGTCACTAGAAACCAGGACAGAACCCACAGAATGTGGATTTATGCCTCCTTAGTATCATTGAAATATATCTCTTCCTTCAACGTTTTCTGCCATTACCCTGAAGCAGGCTCTTATAATTCAAGAATCTCCTAACCAGCCTTTGATCTTCAAAGATCCCTCTTCCACACAGTTGTTAATGATCTTTCTGCAAGGAAAATCTCCTACTGTTACTCCTCCTCCCTTCGATGGCCTTCAAAACAGTTCCTGAAGCTGAATAATATTGTATGTCAGCTATAATTTAATATATGTATAGTCACAGAATATGGAGTATAGTATAGGGAATAGAGTCAATGGAATTGTAATAGATATATACGATGTTAGAGGGGCAATAGATTGGGGGCGGGAGGTTATCACTTTGTGAGGGGTGAAATGTATAACTATTATATTGTTTTGCATACCTGAAACTAATAATAATAATAATAATAAAACCAGTTCCAACTCCACAGCTTGACACAAAAGTCCCTCAGACCGTGACCTCTCTTCTCAACCTCATACTTAACCATTTATCTTTTGTTGCAGCCATCATCACACCACTACCACCACTTACTTCATGCTTATTATGTGCCAGGCACTTTGCTAAGACCTTTAAATTCACTATCTCATTTAATCCTCATAACAATGACAATGGATAGAAAGTATCACCACCTTCATTTTACAGAGGAGGAGACTAAATAAAGGACAGTGAGGTTACATAACTTGCCCAAGGTCATGTAGCTATAAATAGCAGAACCAAGACTTGATCCCAGATAGCTGGACTCCAAAGCCTGACACTGTAACTACCTACATAACTTGCTTATACTTATCCAAATTAACATGCTCATTCACAATTCTGTGCCTCCAAACACTCTATTTCCTCTATATGGTATCCCTCTTCTTCCCAGCCCCGTTTTTTTAAAACTTAAATTTACTGGGGTGACACTGGTTAGTAAAATTATATAGGTCTCAAGTGTACATTTCTATAATACATCATCTACATATTGCCCAGCCCCTTTCTTTAGCTAACTCCTACTCATTCCTCAAAATTCATGTTCTTTACCTTTCTTGCGTTTTTCCTTGATACCCCTGTTCTGGTTAGATACCTCTCTTCTGAGCTCCCAGAACACCCTCTGTGAACCTATGGTATAGATATAACAGACAACTACAACTATAATAAAATGTAGTAACAATAAAATAAAAAATAATAAACTTAGTAATTGCCTCTCACCTCCACCACACAATGAGCTCACCAAAGGCAGACATGTATCTTAACTTTATATTCCTAGAGCTCAGTTTGTTAAACAAATGTGTGGATGAATGAACCAACAAAGGTCAGTAGAGGGAAATCAAAAAAGATACCAGGGCCGGCCGAGTGGCGCGATGGTTAAGAACTGGCTTGGGACGCCAGAGGGCCCTGGTTCGGATCCCACATATGAGGGACAGTGACACTGCCCTCTACAGCTAAGATGCTGAACAACAGCTCAACCTGGAGCTGGGCTGCCATGAGTCGCCGCCGGCGACGGTGCAGTGGGTTGCCATGGGCTACCCTATGTAGCCAGCAGCCAGCGTGAGCGGCCAGCAGCCAGCGTGAGCGGCCAGCAGCTGCAGTGAGCGGCCGTCCAGAAGCCGGCGACTGATCCGATTCGCCCGGGAAGAGCGCAATGATGGTGCCAACTTGGGCCAGTGAAGCAACTTCCTCCACAACTAGACTGAAGAACAAAATGACAGCAACTTGTCTGTTCCCCTTCCTCCAATTCCCCAGCACTGTTCCCATCCCCCCAATTCCCCAATAAAAAAAAAGTTAAAAAGAAAAAGATACCAAAGGTTTACTTCAATGTAAATAATGAATAATGGGAAAATGAGAGAAACAGTAAAAAAACAAAACAAAACAAAAAAACCCCAGCAAAATTCAAAGGCTAAAGAAAGTCCCTGAATAGTTTACAAACCCCCTTTCAAAGTCTAGGTTCATTTTATGGTAGGGAATAGAGATCAAATATTCAGACAGACCCCTGTATAGATGAAAGATCAAAGTTGAGAACAGTGTCTTCTCCCAGCCAGAGAGAATCCACAGATGGATGTCAGAGGAGGCTAGAGTGTGGCAAGCTAAACAAAGGCACCAGGAAAACCTCCCATGGACTTCAGAACCAACAGGAGGTTTTACCAACCTTAAAAGGGGGAAACCTTAACGATAGGGCTGGCAGAAAGTGTACATTTGGGGATGTGAGGAAGCAGTGCAAACAAAATTTTTGTCTTTACTAAAGCGCTCCTGGGAAGCATTACAAATTGGGTCTATTTACCAAAGGGTAAATGTCTAAGATTTAGGTTGTCCTCTCATGATGTGTTGTCTAAATCCTACTGCCTTGCAAGGTCTGTTTCAAATGCCCCTTGTTTTATGTAGCTTTTCCCAATAACTGATCCAGAGTGACTTCTTCCTTCTTGGAATCCCTTCAATTTTATCTCTCTTTCAAGTTCCTCCTAGCAGACTGCTTTGGTTGGAGTTATATATATGTTCATGAGACTGTGAACTAACTGAAGGAGCACTATGCTTTCCTCAGACCTGGCCCAGAACCAACATTCAATACATATTTGTTGGACTGAAGGGAATCTGTTTTGCAAATGTGTGGTCTGCAAGACATCGAAAGGAACTGTGAGTAATTAGACCCAGGAGGAGGTCTTGGCTTTCAAATGGGGGGGCGGGGAAAGGATACTATTAAAAAGATCTAGAAAAATATACAAAGTCACCAGGTACTGAGTTAGGATGCCAGCATAAAACGGGTGAAGTATATCAACCCCACAGAAGGACATGGTCAGCCTTGACAGTCAGCGGATGAATATATCTCAGAAGACCCTCCAGGGCAGAGAGAAGTGGTCAGAGGGAAAAGTTAAACTGCCTTGAGCCAGCATCTCAGATAGACAGCTACAGATCTCAGAGGAAGGCAGCCTGGAACATAGTGGGTTCCACAAAAGTCAGAATAAAATTAATCTTGGGAGAGAAAAAAGACTCTGGGATGGAGTGAGAATTCACCTACTCATCCCCTGAAACTGCTCAAATTTTGGTCACTTTCTTTAGCACCAAACTAAACTTACTGTTGCCACTTCTGTTCAACTCAATTATGTCATATTTGGTCCAATAGTCCCTGTCCACCCACAAATGTCTCAATATGGTCTAGGTGGTCCATACTCTACAAAACTCACTCACCCTCAAGAACATCAAGAACTGTTCTGAGCTCCCATACACCATGCCCACAGCAAAAGGAAGCTGAGGCTCCAGGAGCCACTGACAGCTGGTCCCACCTCATCTCCAACCTCTTACCAGCTGATACTGGCGACTGTACAAGTCATGGCAATTGTTGAAGATATACTCATATGTGGAGTTCAAACAGGCCTTCACACAATCCTTTACCACCTGGCTGGCTCTTGGAGGGCTCTGCAGTTCTTGCACCTGCCAATTAATAAAAGAAATATGGGCCCAGGGTCCTGCTTACCCCTCCTAGAAACTACTTTAGATTCCTTCATCCCTCTATAGGTTTCTGGACCTTGTCCTGGGTTGAAATTGCCAAGACAGCTGATAGTGAGAACTGCTAAGCCCATCCTTGTTGATCCACGATCCACGGTGTTCTCAGAAGTAGCCCAGGAACAGGTGTATGGAAATGTGGGGTTAGAGGTGATGATTCCTGTAGCCTCAGAATGCCAAATGATTCTTATTCTCCATGTCCCTGTGGCCAGGTCCCTAGCCCCATTCATCTCTTACCTTCATTCTGAAGAAAGTAATGCTGGTCAGCAAATCCACTGTGGACTTTAAGTCCTGAAGCCGCTCAGGGCTCCCAGCAGGGAAATTATTCTGTTGTAAATCAAGCAGATGTAAGAAAGGAACAGAAAAATGATGAACACCTTCCCCGACAGAAGCAATGAAATCAAAAGCTTCCCTACCTGCTACCCACTGGGATTTTCCCTAGTTGGAATGGACAAAAAAGCTGTAAGACTACAGGTCTTCCTCTCTTTTCCACTGACACAGATAGGCCCTTGCCAAAAGCAGGGGTTAATAATCCCCAGCCCAGAAAGCAACACTTCCTACCCCCAACCCTGCTTCCCATGCAATGTGTGTCTATTTGCACACATGAACACAGACACACGCACACGCTTACACACACACACACACATTTTTCTTGGGTGAAGATTCTTACACCCAAACAGTGAGTTCTTCAAAAGTTACAATCTAACTGTATATCCTGGAATATAAGTGGAGCCACACTACAGATCAGACTGAGATCCAAGACATGTACTCTCTGTACAGTGGACCCCAGCCTCTTTTCTGGAGCCAGCAGATGGCAGAGCTCTGAGCAGAACTGCTTTTGGAGTGAGTTCCTTAGGACCTTCCAGTCACGCCTCACTTCACTCCCTTTGGCATAAGGTTTAGGAAGACGCTGCCAAGGACAGCTGAAGGGAGATGTTGAACCGCTCTCCACTTTAAGGGTCGGTTTTTTAAACCTGCAAATGGCTTACTTATATGCCAAATATAAGATATACAGTCTACTTGCCTTTATTCATGCAAATGGAGGGCACTAGAAGTGCAAATAATTAAAAACTCACTTCCTTTTTACTTTGAGGTTATTTTTATACTTACTTTTTAATGTGGGTGTATTGCCTGTTCTGAAAATTGACAACACTTTAAAGTAAGTAATGAAGCCATTCTAAGAGGATCTAACTTAGGAAGAATTGAAAAACTGCCCATTTCCCTGTCCTGCCCTGTCTCAGGCACCCACCCTCCTACTACATCTATCTCCTCCCTCCATTCTAGGAATGGACATGACCTCCAAATTACTTGTCTAAGCCAAGCTACACTCTCTCTCTCCCCTTAGCCAGATTCTCACAACTCTCCTGAAAAATGAGGAGAGTATGGAAAAATGTAAGAAAAAATGTAATTATCTAATTCTTTAAAGGGGCATTTCTGGAAGAGATTATCCTCCGGAGACTCCCTAATGAGAATGTCATCAGAGAACTTGATAGAGTGATATGAGTGGGGTTAGAAAGCCAACTGTCTATAAAACTCAACCACACCTGCAGCTATTTACACACTGCATGTTCCTTGGAGTTTGCAGAACCACTGGTGTCAGTGGCACTGGTCATGCACATGGACATGATGACACAGACCAATTTTCCTTGCCTTCGATCTTTGTAGCCAAGATTGGCCTACGGTCTCTCTAGACTGAGCTGATATTATCTGTTATCCCATCCCACAGCCATGTCTTCACTCACCCTGTATGTAGAGAGGTCAATCCTCAGTGAGTTGTGCAGCTGGTCAAGCAGTTTCACAAATCTCTCTTTCTGAGGGTGGGAAACAAGTAACAGGAAAGAGAGAAATACAGTAAAACCTTGGATTGTCAGTAACTTGGTTTATAAGTGTTCCGCAAGATGAGCAAACATTTCTAATACATTTTAACTTGGTAAATGAGCCATGTCTTGCAATACGAGTAATTTGTTTCTGGAACAAATTATGCTCGCAAACCAAGGTATTACCGTAATCTGTTTCTGAGCTCCCTAGACTATAACAGAAACAGAACCATCTCTGGATGAGAAGGAGACACTGGGTTGAGGATACATCCTATCCCATCCCTACCCATGAGGAGAATAACAACATGTAAGGAAGAAATGGAATTGGTGGTCCCTGTTCTATCTCTGTGTCAAACTGTGGAATCTTTGCACACTGGCAAGGGGAATAGAAGTCCCTGGGAGGGAAAACAGCTCTTTCTGTATAAGAATCAACCCGAGATGACCAGTGAGTACATCTCCATCCCTTTGAAACTCTAACTCATCTTAGTCAAATAAAGGAAAACTCCAAACACATTCTCCAACCTATTCCTGAGTCTGTGGCCTCCTGACTTACCTTGGGGTTACTCACAACAGTTAAACAACCACAGCCTAGCAGTAATGATGTGAGGGAGAAATAGTGATGCCTTTGGAAGGTGATCAGGCAGTCCGGAGGGGGTTTGTCTTTAAATCACATTTCACCATCATTTCCCTTAGTTTATACTTTTTTAATGTTAAACAAATAACATACACTATTTTAACAGCTGATTTTTATAGAAAAGGTATAATTAAATATGGAATCACATGCCTATAGGCTATGTGGCATAGCCCTCCTAGAACTCACATATTGATTAGATCATATATCATTAGTATTGATTAAGTCAATAATGATGGGATGAAATAATAGATCAGGTATTTGACTGGCTTAATCTATGATATTAATTCATCCACAGAAAGACTATTAACAACAAGAAAAAGTGGTTAGGACCATAAACAGGGCTTGGAGACCCAGTGGATTTGGCAGTATCAGTAATTTTGTACCTAAAGAGGTAATCTTTGTTGTGGGTCAAAGATAATTTCATTTAGTTTATATTGAAGTTATACCAGGTGACATTCTGAGTAAGGATTTACCTTCTCAAAAGGAAAGGGCATGCCCTGAGTAGAGAAAACAGTCCAGACACTAGAAAAGGGATAGGCTCAGGTATACACTGGTATCCTCACTTAGACATCAGTCTCATGTAAACTTAAATGGTATGAATCTGTCAGAGAGACACTGAGTAATATTTCAAAAGGTCCATTTGTGGATCTGCAGGACTAAGGAACTTGGTAACTTGACGAAGTTCTTGGCCTAGAGAGATTTACCTGATCCCAGGTGCGCGCCCCCCCCCCCCCCGCCGCCAACCATGGTGGTGCTATTCTTCTCTCATTTATCCATGTCTGAGGAGAGTTTATATAAGTCTACATGTCCATATGAAATAAGGATTGTCTATTAGCAGTCTACAGCCCCATGAGGAAACAAGTTCATCTATCTAGGTGGCATCTATCTAAAATTTAGACTTATCAACCAACTCTACAGTATCAATCATGAAAAATCAAATTTTATTAATTAATAACAAATAAGTAGTTATGTTTTCACATCACACTCACCCCAAAGTTGGAGGCCGCGAAGCGATCAGAAGCAGAGACATTGGTGGAGGCGGTTGTGTGGGCATAGTAGGCATTGATGTTGGCCAGTAAGGTGCTCATCACTGCTGGCACACCAGGACACATGTACTTGGATGACAAACACGCAAAGTGCCTGAAAAAACAGCACCCTCAGCCTCAAAGACTCTTCAGGGCTTGCAGTGAAAGCCAAGTAATCAAAAGATTTCACTGATGCGTATAAAGCTTCCAATCACCTTGGCATACAAGGATCTTCATTAATTTATTCATTCTAATATATATTCAATGAATGCCTATCACGTGTCAGATCCTGTGCTAAGTGCTAGAACCCACAGATGGGATAGCTTGGGCAGAAAAAGCAGGTGCTAGAAAGTAAGTCAATAATCCAAGGTGTGCTATGCAAAACCACTGTGGAAGCATACAGGAAGATCACCTAGATCAGAATGGTTGGGAGCTGGAAGGGATTAGAAAAAAGCTGCCCAAAGAAGAGATAGTTGAAACAAGGCTTAAAGGATCAGTAAGAATTAATCAAATGGAACAGTGTACAGACAAACAGAAATTGTATTGCAAAGACAAATACATTCATGACAGAGTGCTTTGGTTGGAAAACCTGTGTGGCTACTGTTCAGGTGTTTCATATAGGAATACCAAGAAATGAGAGACAAGAGGTAGGTAGAGAATAAATAAAAGAACTTATCCTAAATGCTATAAATTTTTAAACAAAGACATAGTGTGATTAGATTACTTTTTCAGAAAGGTCCCTCTGATGATAAACTGGAAGACTTGGAGAAAGATAAAACTAAGAAAGAAAGATCAGTTGAAGAATAATTGTAATAATTCAGAAGAGAAGCAAGCAATAAAGCACTAAATAGAACAGAGTAATGGTTAAGAGCACAGACTCTAGAGTCAGACTCTGGGTTTGAATCTCACTGCCACCACTCACTCAATGACCTTGGATAAATTACTTAAACTTCTCTATGCCTCAGTTTTCATATCTTTAAAATGGAAAAAATAATGATTTTTTTTTCCAACACTCCACATGGGTCAATATTAGCATTAAATGAGTTAACATTCATAGAGTGCTTAGACCAGTGTCTGGCGCATAAGGAAATGCTGCATAGAAGTTGTTGTTGTTATCTTCGTTATCATTATTGTTGAGCTATAGCAATAGTGATAGAGTAAAAACATTTTAGGGAGTAGAATCTAGAGGTTTTAGAGATTGGATGTTGGCAGTTAAAGGGACAGTAGTAACAAAGAAAAGTTTAGGCTGACTCCTAAATTTTTTTGGACAACTGTATAGAAAATCATTCCATTTACTAAAATAGGGAATATAGAAAGATATGCATATTTGGTGGAGATAGTATTGATTTAGAATTTAGCCAAATTGCCTGTGGGAATACCCAGGAAGCAGCTGAAAATGGATCTGAAATTTAGGAAAAGACCTGATCTGGAGAAAGCGATCTGGGAGTCCTTAGTCTGCAAGTAGTGGTTGAGATCACAGGTTTGGATAAGATCATCTTGGAAGAGTGAACAGAGTAAGAATGGCAGAGGGGCCATTCTTAAACCCCATTTCTCACCATATTTCTTCTTTCCATCTATACTGAACTTCTTGTAATTCCTTGAATTGTTTATGCTCTGTTACATCTTAACACCCCAGCACTTGCCCTTCCAAAAATGCCCTTCCTCCTTTTCTGTATTTCCAGATTCAGTTCAAGTGTCAATTCTTTAGTGGCTTCCCTCACAGGCCTCCCCTAAATTTAGATGCTCTCATAATACCCTGTGATTATTTCTAGCAGAGCACTTATTACATTATATTGTAATTGTTTGTTTACTGGTCTGTTTCCTGCTAGAATGAGTTCCCCAAGCACAGAGGCCCCATCTTACTCATCTTTGTGTTCTCAGCAACAAGCACAATGTGTGACATGGAGAAAGAACTCAATAAAAGTTTGCAGAATAAATGAAGCACAGCCAGGGCGATAGCTATCCTCTGCTTCCCTAGGGCTGCTTCCTAAGCATAGTTCTAGTGGCAGCCTCACCGATAGACAAACTACACCTCTTCTCATAGTAGGTGGGAATTTCTGTTATTGAAGTCTCGGTCATCTCCAGACTCAGCTGTTCTCCCTACAGTTACATGCGTCTCGGACATCCAGGCCAATCTATGAAAGCTTGTCTGTCACACACATACACATGAGCACACATGCCCTATCTCCTCAGGCCTGTGATGTTTGGGCAGGTTTGTCCATGCATACCCTCCCATGCCTTTTGCCCTTTCTAGCTCTGAACTCTGGGGTAGACAGAAAAATACCATCTCTCTGAATCATTGATAAACACACTCCCTTTATACATATACCCTCTTTGCCTTGGGGCATAAGCCCACCTCACCCAGCTCAGAGAGAGAAACAATAGAATCATTGCATATTACCTCACTAAGGACCTGTCTACCCTGTCAGTGTGCCTTCATTAGCCACCCCAAGGGTTAGTAGCCACTTTCCAAAACCCCAGGGGAGTCTCACGTCATGGCCTGATATATGGATTCAATGCCGTAGCGCATGGCAAATTCATCCACAATTTCTTGGGCAGTCTCGTCAAAGTACACCTTCCATGCATCGTCTCCTCGAGCCTCAGGGATCTGGACTCCACCGCTGCCCTGAATGTCTGTGAGGTAATGGAAAAGGTTCTGCAGGAGACAGAGCAAAGGGAGAAGTTACGTATCTATTAAAAACAAAACCAAAATCTGGTGGTAAACTGTGGCTAGGGTTCCACCAATATTCTGTCCTTCAAGTCTTTGTTCAGTTCCTCCTGTGGCCCCAAGAGTCTGTTCTCACATTAGTGAAAGTGTGCTTGGGCTGTCCAGTAGCACACTGAGCCAAGGATAAAAGAAAACACAGGACCCAGTTCTTTCAACCATCTAGCAATCCTCATCATTATCAAAGGCCCCACCCCGCACTGCTCTCTGACACCCCATCTACCAAGGGCTGGCTCACCTCATGGAGACACGTATACTGCACATGATACGGGGCTACCTTCTCCTCCCCCTTGATCTCCACACTGATTTGCAGTCTGATAGCTCCTGAGACAGCTGATTTGTCTGTCCTTTTTTCTAGGGAAGAAAGAAGACTGGAGATTGACACCAATGCAACTACAGACAGCATACAGTCCCCATCCTGGCTTAACCTGAGGAAAAGAAGGCACTGACCCAAGGGTTCACCTAATAGGGTAAACTCATTCCAGTGACCACATAGTCCACAAACACCCCAAATATTCCCCATAAGAATTCAATTCCATTAGGAGAATAGGGGGCTAAAGGCATTAGAGATGAGTATGAAGATTAAAGGGCCTTCTGAAATCTGGAGAATGCCAGCCACAGTGGGTTCCAGCCACCCCCACTTCTGTCCCCTATCTCTACCCACGGTCAGTTCTCTACAGGGAAGGCAGGCTCTGTATAGAGGGATGCTTTAGCGACTGAGTGGTGGTTTTGGCAGACAGGATTTTCCCCCATGTTCCCCATTCATGCTCTGCCTTCCCACCACCTTTATCTGGTCCTGTTTCCTCACCCAAGTTATACCAGACGTCCATCTCGCCACTCAGTGTCCGAACCTCAATGATGGTTTGGCCAAGGAAATCATCAGACTCTCGCTTTAGCCGCTGCTTTACTCTCGACTTGATGTCATCATCTTCATCCCACACACGTACTTTAATACGGTCAGAAGAGTTGTGGCACTCACTGTGACAGAGTTAGGCAGGCTCAGTTAGCGACAGACCCAGCAGCCCCCACTCCTATTACTTCCAATTCTCTCCCAAAGCTCCATCAACTGTACTTGAGGCCCTGCAGAGAAGGAGTCAGAGAACAGTGGTACTAAAGTTCCAAGTGAGTCAAGCTATCCCAGCAAATGGCTCTTCATTCCTCAGGCATACCATTATCCAGTCCTTACTGCTTTGAGACCAAGAGTAATTAGAAACAATTCCGATTTCTTGTGCAGCTAGCTCTATCAGCAACGCCAAGAGGAACACAACTGGTCTGATGCTACAGAGCCCTAGGAAGCGCCTGCTAGTTCCCTTCCCAATCAGTAAAGGTGTTAATGTTCATGGTATGTCCATCTGGTCATATTTGCTTGGCTTTCTATCTAGCTCCCCCATCTATCTAACTATGTGCTTGGTGAACTTCTATCATTCTTTAATATCTGCTTGAATTGTCTTTGCTCTTTGGTGTTTGCTTTGAAGAAGGGAGTTTGAGCAAGTCCCCTGTCTCCCTTCCTCTCCTTCCCCAAAAGGTGCTTTCTGGGTCCTGTTGCCTCACCCAAAAGTTGTATTTGACAGAATTTGCTGCTCTTTTCTCTGTGTTCTCATTACTATATCTTTGCATATTCCATTAAAATACTATAATGACTGGTCTACTAAAAAACAAAATACAAATAAAAAATAAGCTTCTTGAAGCCAGGGATTGTCTTATACATTTTTAGATGTACAACATCGTGTACAGTGTCTTATACAGAATAGGAGCTTAATGAATTATTTACTAAATGGATAAATGTGGGCAGAATGGACTACAGAGCCAATTCATTTAGAATAAATCATAAGGATTCAAGCAGAAACCACTCAGGTTCTCAAACTGGTGCTCCCCCCAGTAACTGTTGCCTCTGGATTAGAGATTGCATTTACTAGGTCCCATCCCTTTCCACATGAGTTCTCCATGGAGTCAACAAAAGAAGGTCTCTACATAGCCAGCCTGCTTAGTTGACTCAAAATCCTGGTCCTAGGCTTCAGGGGAGTGACAAACCATCTGGATTTTCCAGACCTTAGTCCAAGTCCTACGCCAGAGCTTGCCATTTTCAACAACCATCCCTCACTGTCTTACAAAATAGTCCATAAAAAAGTCAGATAATAGAAAAAGGAGGATGGAAGCTGAGGCAGAAAAAAAAGCAGAGCCCGTTAAGGGAAATGGAAACTTCTCCATACCACAGATTTCTTCCTTCAAGCCAGTTGGAGGACAAGTACATTCCTTCCCCACTCCTCAGAAAAGCCTAGCCCTTCGTAGGCAGGATGGCAGGGCTGGGAGGTGCACAATAGATGGTCAGTCCCTGATTCTGTCGCTGGGCAATAATAAAATCTTTCTAATGCTAGAAAAAGAAGTATAGAGTGCCCAGGGGCCCCTTTAATAGCCCTGGTTAAGATAGGGTTCGGGTAAAGTAATCCTGGTACAATAATAGTCCATGAGAGGAAACCCAGAGAAAAAAACGGCTGCTGCCCAATTGAAGCATGTGAGAAATGGGTTTTCTCTACTGCCTCTGCCCCATCCCTCTTAGGAGCTAAACTCAGAACAACAGGATTTAATGCTGCTCCCAAATACACAGTTTCAGGTAAGACAAAAAGCCCTCTGTGACTTACAAATGGAACTTCTCCTCCCAAACAGGATTCAGGTTCCCAAAAATGGTCTTGGTACGCTTCTTGGTTTTGCCCACTTGCACAGTCACATAAGGGTCACTGGATCCTGTCTTGTCCTTGGCTTGTAGGCCCTGGGCACACACCACTGCAACCCAAATACACAGAGGAGGAGGCTTCAGAGTACGCTCCGGAAGTCAGAAGTCCTCCATAGCACGACTCATATGCTCTCCATCTTAGAGCAGCTGCTCCTTGTACCTTGCACAGGAACCCTAACCTTACTCCTCCACAGCTCTCCTTAGTCCTGGGCCACCAACCTTTCCCTCAAAGCCTCAAAGCCCAAGAATCCCACCTCCCTACCAGAGCCCTAACTGACCACTTACCCCTACACTGGTCCTTACCTTCTCTGATACTGTGTGTCCCCGAAAATAAGACCAGGTCTGATATTAATTTTTGCTCCAACATTCTACATTTATTTATTTATTTATTCATTTACAAAAATCTACATTTATTCAAACAGTCATGTCTGGCTGACGATCTTAACTGGGGCTTATGTTTGGGGTAGGGCTTATATTACGAGCATCCTGAAAAATCATGCTAGGGCTCATTTTCTGGTAGGTCTTATTTTTGGGGACACACGGTATATGCATGCTTCAGCCACACCCACCCAGCTAGTAAGCCACTGGTTAGCTATTCCCAGATCTCCTACCCCCAGCTCTTGTACTACCAGACTGTTAACCAAGTCTATAATATCAGGTTGTTACCAAATCCTTCTATTATCATTCCTATCGTTTGCAGGTGCCAGTCTTGCCTCTGCCAGCCCCCACACTCCCCACTCCAGGGTCTAGGAGAGGAGGAGTAATGAATAACGAAAACTTTCCCCTTCCCCTCAGTTCTGTCTTCTTTCTCCCCGGTCCCTTGCTCCCTCACACCCAGGTGGCTTCTTTCCCAGGCTCCTCCCCATAGCCCAGGCCTTCCTGTCCCCTCACGCTTTGGCCTGCTCACCAGTGATGGTAATCTTGGCCGACCATTTGGAGGTGCCATCTAGCACACTCTGCTTCACTGTTTTCATCTGCTGCACATGGGCAACTTTGCTCACAGTGAAGACATCCCGGATAACTTCAAAGATCTCTGGCTTATTCCGTTCTCGGATCTTCATGCGGTCCTTCATGGCCATGATAATGTTCTGGGTCCGATCCTCAGCTCCATGTTTAGAGCTCTTTTCCGCAGCTCCTGAATAATGGCCAGAGACAGAAAGTAGGGTAACCTACAGGCCAAGGGTCAGGCTGAGGACTGGGGCCTGGGAGAGGTCACTGAGGAGTGAGAGCTCAGGCAGACTGGGATATCGCTGAGAAAAGTTAATCACGTATGGGGCCTGCTGAAGTTTAATGCCTGGCCAGTGGAGTTTAAAATGCAACTCAAAGAGCAGCAAAAACTTGATCATCGTTATGGGAGGTTATTGTATTATATTTAAATATATGTTGAATTTTTCATGAAAAAACAAACAAAAAAACCATGAAGCTCAGTCTACAGTTGGCTTTGAATTTCTTCCATCCTGATGGTAGTTGATAGACACCCTAGAAGTCTAAGGCCAAAATATCACCAATGGGTGATACCATCAGGGAAGGGTGGCGGATAGGCATGACAACTCCACCAGGCTCATCCAGCTTCCAAGCCATGATACAGATCCCAGAGCTGGTCACAGCATATAGTTGGGTTCTGCCCCACAGCTCCAGTGCTTTTAATCTCAGAAAGTAGTGTGGTATGGTGAGAAAAGTATGGCCTTTGGCATCACAGACTTGGGTTAAATCCTGACTCCACTACATCTTGCTGGGTAAACTGGTTTAGCAAAAGAATATGGCACTTATCTCTCAGGGTTTTAAGAAGCATTATATTAGCATATATTTGTATAAAGCACTTAGCCCAGTACCTGGCACTAGCAAGTACTCAGTAAATGGTCACTATTGTTGTTACCACCTGGCAGGAATAGCAAGGGCCATCTTCACCAACTGTGATCTTAGCCAGCTCATCTCAGAGGCTAGCAGGCTCTCCCTGCTGTCCTGAGGATGATGGCAGAACACAGGCTCCTCTGGTGTATTTCACCAACCAGGCTTCTCACAAAGGGCCCATCCTTCCTTTACTGGCTCTGCAGACTGGCTCTTACCTCTCTCCCATCTCCAAAGGCTTATTAGGCCTTTCCTATAAAACCTGGAACAAAAAATAAAGGCCAATAGCTGCATCCTAACCCTGGGAGGATGGCAAGCAGGTTTTGTGTTCAGGGAGGCCAAGGGAAGGGCATGTCATTCCACTCTGTGCTTCACAGAAGACTTAGGCAAAGGTACTTTTTGCTATGTAGAAATTACCTGGGCTGCATCCTCTTACATTTAGCAGATCCCATGCAATGCTACTTTCTTGGACTGGGACTTCGAGGAGATCGACACCCTTGTACACAGTCGCATTTCGGAAGGTTTCCGGCAAGCAGCCAATCTGGCTGCTAGTTCTCAGCAATTAAAGGACCTACTGGCACCTGTGTCTGTCACCCCCTCATGATGGGGCAAAATCACCACCAGCACTTAGCCTTCAGGCAGTCTTTTTAGAGCCCCCTCTTTTCCGCTGACTTTGTTCTACATGTCTCTTCATGTCAACTGTAGCCATGCAACTAGCACCAATCAGGGCTCTTCAAATCAGCACGCTTTAAGATAACAATTCCTCTCCCCCCTTTTTAAGTCACCTATCTTTTTTGGGGACAACGAAATGCTTGTGTGTCTACCTTCCTTTCTCCTATCACACTCCTTGAAGATTTCATTGCTATGGCTTGGTTCTGTGTGACACCTGGGACACCTGGAGGGATGAGAAAACACCCCCATCCCCACCCCTGCTCCTCCTGGGGTCCAGCTGTGCAAGCCCAGCAGGAACGGAGCAAGGAGTCAAGAATTTGGAGTGCTACCACCTCCTTTGACAGAAACTGTTTTTCCTGCTCTTACTCTCCCCACTCTATGATGGCAGCACAAATCACATATTGAGTCAGGGCCTTGGGAGTCTCGCACATTCTACTCTGGGACCTCTGCCTGATCCATTTGAAACTTCTGTTCCTGGCACTGTTGTCTGAAAGCTGCATATATAAGCAAGGAATAGATGCTGCCTTCCCTGGGTCCTAGCGTCTAGACCTCAGGAGGTTCCTCTGTGAGGCCTGGAACCTCACAAAACTTTTTCCTCATTAGTTTTGGTACCCAATTAAACATGCTCTCGTCATTTGGGCACTATGGCCGTTGTGGTGTGTACACTACTGAGGTGCAGCTTCTGGGATCCTCTGAATCCTAGAAGAGATTCTAGTTCCCCAGAGGGCCACAGAAAGCTCAAAGAATTTTTCCTAAAGGTGCTTAAGAGAGTGCAATGAGACCTGTTATTTGGAAAGGCAATGCTCCCTGACTCAGGACCTCCATTCTCTGAACAGGCAAGAACTTCAGAATCAGATAGACAGAGGAATGATGCCCAGCCACCCTAGCTCTTTGTTGCCAGACTACTTTGGAGAGGCCCTGCTGCCCCTGCACCCCACCCCTCATGCTGCAGGGGCACTCACGCTGCAGGCAGTCGGCGTTCAGCAGGTCCTGGCACTTCTCATGGCACTTGACTCCACACTCGCTGCAGCGCATGCCCTGCCGGGCAATGCCCCAGAGCAGGCCTTCACACTCATAGCAGTAGGTTGGGGTAGTGGCTGACCAGACCTCAAAGTTGTGGGGCGTGGTGCACGAGATAGGGTAGATTAAGGCCTGCAGGGTTTTCTTATACACGTGGGATTTCTGAAAGACACATACCCCATCACCCACCAGCGACGTTAGGCCTCTGCTGGGAGATACCAGAACTGAGACACTTGTAGGGCAATCAAAACCCTGGTTTCTCCTCTGGTAGTGGAGGAGACGCTCTAGACCGGCCCAGCCCATCGCCCAGCCTGACAGAAAGAAGCCCCAGTGTCATGTGCTCCTACTTGTTCAAGACAGGCCTGACCTAAACGCTCGGTCTGAGCCTTGTCCTAGCATTCCAGCTTTCTAGGGAAACAGGGTGCTGGGCCCGCCATAAAACTCTGAGTTCAGTGGTCACGTACTCTCCCATGAGACTCGGGCTTACCCCTGGTCTGGACCCTTGCCTCACCCCATGTGGAAGACTGAGACCAGATGCTCACTATCTGTTTTGTTAATGATGTGTGCCCAACGCTCTTGAATTCTCAATAATTATGCCTATAGAGATGATCACCAGTAGATGGCCAGATCTTTGGCCAGTGGACTCGTGAAAGCCCACGGATCACTTACCAGCTCTTCATCCTTGAGAGAGGTGCGCGTAGCCATTGCAGAAGTAATCCCTGCCTTCCGGGATTGGACCAATGACTGTGAGAGAAGACCTGCTGTCAGCCCTGGCTACCACGAAGGGCGGGCCAAGTCCTGGGAAGGGATTTTCAGTGACCAAAGCAACTTGACTCTAACTTACTACCTCCTCTCTATTTTTACTGTCATTTAAAGGGACTGCCCATAAGTAATAGGTAACAAACATCCCAGGTTAAGGTCCAAAACCTAAGGTCCTTAGAGGACTGTTCTAACAATATTAGAACAGTACTTCTCTCAGGGTACCTATCATCCAAAGAGTTTCTCTTTCCTTCACTATTTTTAGGTATCCTACCCCTTGTTTATAGAAAGGCAAGGAAAAATGAAAAACTTAGAATTACAGTAGGAAATAGGTCATTAAGAATAGAAGAAACACATAACTCAGAGTCACATTCAAGAAACACTCCATGCTATTCATCCTCTATCCCCCAGTATCACCCCATGCCCACACAGTCCCAGGTTGCTGGAGAGGCCGGCAGCCATGGTGAGCAGGGCACCTGAAAGGGGCGATGTAGCCTCAGTCAAATCAAGCAGGGTAGGGGTGAAGTCTGAGACCTGAGGCTGCCCTGCTAGCCAGGCTCTTGTATAGACGGGCTCCACATATCTGCCAAGCCCAGGCTTTAAGGGCAGCCCCTGGAGAGACACATGGTTTCCCTAAGGCAGTGGGCAATGGGCAGAGAGACGCTGGAACATCAGTTCAAGCAGGAGGAACAGTTGGGAGGGGCCCGGGTGGTTTGAGATATAGACTCTTAATAGAGGATAGAAAAGGGCTCCAGAGACACTCACCATTGCCTGTGCAGAGGAGAGCAGAAAAAGGAACAACATGATGTTAAAGCCCTCCCAAGGGCATAAAGAAACTTTCAGAGGCAACTGAGAGGTTCTTCCCTATAGTCCAATGCAGGGACTATGTCCCAACCCCCTTCTGCCTCTATCCACTAAAAATGTCTTCAATCCAGACAGCTGGCCAAGGCCTAGAGCTTCTATTCTGAGAGTTATGCTAGAAAGTGAAAATATAGGAAAGGTTAAAAGATAGAGGAGGGGAAACAGAAATGAACAGGACACTGTTATCCAAACAGTTAAGCAAAGAGGAGCTGGTGGGCAAGAGGAAGTGGAGGATGAGAACAAGTAGGAAGAAAAGAAAGGAGGAAGAGGAAAAAAAAGAGGAGACAGAAGACAACGAAATAAGGTAATAAAGAAAAGGTGACGTCAGAATTTATCTTCATTCAACCAGCTTGATGAAGATTTGGTAGGAAAAGAGGCACATCAGAAAGGAGGAAGAGAAAGAAGATACACAAATCGTAGAAATAAAAAGGAAGAAAGAAATGATTCAGATAAAATGGCAGAGGATAGTTCTATTCAGCCATCTAAGGAGAGAGAAAAAACTGGTGGAGAAAAAAGATAGAGAATGGTGGAGAAATGGGAAAAGAGGTGGATAAAAAAAACAGAATAGACTGAATACGGAGAAAAAAAATACAAAGAAAACAGGAGAAGAAAAGGGTAATAAGAAAAAGGGTTCAAGTCTTGCTGAACATCTAGCTATAGAGCTCTGGGAGAGCCTGGGCCCCATTCCACCCTCACTATCCACTAGGCTACGGAAAATTCCTTGAGCTGATCCTGCCTTAGGGAGTATGACCCAAAGTGGGAGCTTCTGGTCACCTGGAGGGCCTGAGATCAGCTTTAACTCCTAAGACTGTTTCAATTCAATTCCACCAGTTTTTATCATTACCTCTCAGTGCCAGACACTGAGTTAAGGACCAGAGGCACAGAGATAGTATAGAAAGCCTATGTCTTGTGAGGAGACTGTCACTTGACCCCCAAGAAGGAGTTGCACCAGTCATGAGCTAGAGGTAGTTTTCATTCCAGGTCATCAATGAAGGCTGTAGAGCTATCTAGAGAGAGGAACTAGATACCTAGAAGACAACTCCAGAGCTCCCCTTTGAGGGCCCAAGCTATAAATGTTCCAAGTGGGAGCTTGAGCTTATGAAGAACCTGGGGCTCTGAAGAGGGAGTAAGGTAGAACAAGGTCCCACTGAAGCCATCACTAAACCTCAGTAAGGCTTTAAATTATTGATCTTCAGACCAACACTTGTCACTAAATGGACCACTACCAGTTCTGACAGTTTGTCAAGGCCCAATGGGGAATATCCCAAGGCTACAGCCTAAGCCTGCACAAGAGTCTCACTCACCAGATCACTGACAAGTGGCAGTGGCTTCTTCCTGCGTAGATCTGGCATGCTGTCAATGCCATAGAGTCCTCCAGCTGGCCTGAGGAGGGAAGAAAACATGTCAGGGCCTTGAGTCCTACCTTCAGTTACTGGCAGGTTCAGTGTTCCATTCTCCCTGCTCACCCTGTCCCCAGAAGAAGATGAACTGACCTCCACCATTTGTGCCTTTGAGAGGGGTGAGGAAGACAGAAAGTGAGGGAAATAAATCCATGGGACGGTGAGTAATGGAATCTGCTCTCAGAGTGCCCCTCCTTGTGTCCTTCTATGGTTTTAGCCAAAGACTGAGAGCTCTTTTATCCCACACTGACAGTTCAAGGCACCTCTGCTTATGTGAAGGCTCTTGTGCTCCATAAGGCAAGGTGGGAGCTGGTAGTTAAGAGGGCTCCTCTCCACCCTCAGGCCAGAGCACTGCTCCCCAAAGAGAAGTCTTTCTTGGCCTGTGCTAGAACAGAGCCCACAGGAATGCAGGAATGGCTCTACAGAAGAGCTGCTGCCTAGGTGAGCAGATCTTCTCCATCCTGAATAAAAGAGTCACCAGCTCTCTCTATCCAAGCCTCCTGAAGAAAAAGGGTCTCCAAGGAAAGAGGAGCCCACATAATTAAGTGGGGGTAGGAGAGGTGGGATGGGAGACTTGCTTCCAAAAGACTATTTAAGGGGTGGGGAGGGAGATCATTTAGGAAGGACACAAAAAGACTCTGAGTGTCTGGCCCAGCCCTATGGACAGACACATTAATAGGGACCAAGAAAAAAACAGCTGGAGCAACTGGAGATTTCTAAAAGTTTTATACCTTTTCTATGCTTATTAATTTTATTGTTCTTGGCCTGTTGTTTCATAACAATATGCAATAAAAGTATAGAGAATGTCCCCAAAAGAACACCATTCTCACACTGAGACAACCTGGATTTTACCTGCAACTCTTCTACTAACTCTCTACATGTCCTCTGCCAAAATTCCTTCCTCTTTTTGGGTCTTGGTATCACTTCTATAAAATGAGGGGGGTGAACTACAAAACCTCCCTGACCTTTTGGAACCTGCCATTCTGAGCCTCAATGAAAAGAACTCACATACTTGCTTTTAATGACAGCAATGAGGTGGGGAAGGTAGGTGGCTGGGGTGTACACCACAACTGGTCTCAAAAGAGCTATAGCTCAGAAGAATAAATAGGTACTGCCAGCAACATAGGCAAAGAATGGAGCCACAAATTGGGTCAAAGCCAGGAGTTGGAACAGGCATTCTGATTTCTAATAAACTAGCTTCCTGAGCACAGGAAATGAACTTTTTTTTGATGAGACTACCAGACCTAGGGAAGTTCTAAACTTGTGACAGCTTCCAAGGACTAAGCTGAAGGAAGAAAAGATGACAACAGGGAGGTATTTAGAAAATCACTGCATGGCTCCATTTAAAAATAGTTTGGATATCTTCCATTGGCATGTATGTATTTCACAAAGAGGAAAAAAGCTAAAGCCTTGAAAAAGGGCTGTTGAAGAAGTACCATGCCTGGTGCCATGAGTTTGTGACTAATTCTAAAAACTATACTATGCACCACTTAAGAAGTTTTTTGCAACATAAGTGAGCTTGTAACAAAAGAAGAAAGAGTTGGGCCTGCCGAGTGGCTCGTTGGTAAGAGTTGGCTTGAGAGCGCCAGCCCTGAGCAGCAGGGCCACCGGTTCAGATCCCACATGAGGGCCAGTGACGCTGCACCCTCTACAGCTAAGATGGTGAACAACAGCTCGACCTGGAGCTGGGGTGTCATGAGTCACCGGCGACGACATAGGCTGCAGCAGGGCTGCAGTGGGCTGCCGTAAGCTACCGTGAGTGGCCGGCAGCCAGTGTGAGCTGCCATGAACCGCTGTGCGCGGCCATCGAATGGCCGGTGACTGATCTGCCTCCCCAGGGAAGAGTGCAATGATAATACCAACATGGGCTAGTGAAGCTACGTCCTCCACAACTAGACTGAAGAACTAAAGGACAGCAACTTGTTTGTTCCCCTCCCCCAATTCCCCAATAAAATCTTTTTTAAAAAAAAGAAGAGTAGCTCTTTCACATAATTAACTCTTAATTTAAAAAAGACAAATCATAAGGAGAAGGAACAGGTAAAGATGTAGTAAATAACTTCATGATCTCATCTTTTTCCTTCCCTGGTCACAAGGAGAGGAGGCAGCCACTGAGAATTCTGATGTCAGGAGGCCTTTGTGGAACAAGGAGAGAAGGAAGATCCTGAGAAATAACTGGCAATGTATGTGGGGGGTACGGGGGTGGAGAGGAACTTAAACTCTTTTCTCTCTTAAGAACAGTCAGTTGGTTATAGGCAGCAGTTGAGCAGCTTAAAATGACTCTCTGCTGCAATCACATGGGTCTGAAACTCCCAAACAAGGAGCACAGACAGAACACACAGAACTCATCAGGGATGCTACTTATGTCTTGATTAGAGTGGTAAGGAATAAGTGGGTGACTCACATCATCTGAAGCAGGACAGAGCCCAGGGAGAAATCTAACCAGCTACAGCTACACTATCAACAATGGAATGGAAAGACACTGTCTCCAAAGGCAGATATTTTTCTAGTTTCCTCATTCTTATACCTAAAGAGTATATTACAATTATGATGCAATGGATCAGAAATTCTAGCATCAAGGATAGGGGAGCCCCAAAGTTCCTGCCCCTGTTCCAAGGGAACCATCAGCAAAGCACTCTTTTCTGCCTCTAAGTGATCAGTCTGAAGTAATCAGTTTGAACCAACCAATCTCTCCAGTGGAGCCTCTTCCTTCCCCAAGGTCCAGGTTAGGGAGCTGTTTCTCCTGTTTCCCAGGGGAAAAGCTAAATGAAGCATGAGAGACTGTATAAAATCCAAAGAAACCTTGCAGAGAATCACTTACCCTTCCGGGAGCCACTGGGGCAAAGAGTCGTCGCCATCATTTGGAATCTTTAAAAACAGAGAGAAAAAAGTTAGATCCTAGGGAAAATGGGAGACTACCATCTTTCCTTGGTCAGGCAGTGAGCAGTAAAGTAGGAAGCTCAGAGAAGTGTAGGTCACATACACCACGTGGTGAAACAAATGCCAGCCTGATGTCTAAGCCACTCCTTGATCAGCCAAGGGCAACATGCAGGCTGCGGAAATGAGCAATAGTTTATCATCCCTCTTCCCAGTGACTAGGAATGACATAAGGCTAAGCTCACTGAGATCCACTGGGAGTGTGGAGCTGCCAGAACTTATAAGCCCCTCACACAACCCACTGGTATATGTAAGATAACCAAAACTATGAAGAGAGTCCACTTAGGCTTCCAGGCCTCACTAAAGCAAAAAGACAAGTTCATATAGAGTCTGGTCTTCTTCCAGCTGTATTCCTAAGTTCCCTTGGCTGGCCCAGAGTCAGACCTGGTCTTTCTAGATGCCTGTTATCTTGTGATTGGACTTGGCTTAGGTTCCTTGAAGGCCTAACTCATTGAAACTGAGTACACTCTACATTTGATAAGCTCTATATAACCACAGAACCCAGAGCAAATTAGACACTTGGATTATCATTCTGGTGTTTTTTATGAGTTCTCTAATGAGAAGCTGATCATTGAGGCACCAAATAATACAAGTAAGGAGCAGGTCAAAAACAATTTTTAAAGGTTTCTACACACACACACACACACGCACGCACGCACGCACGCATGCACGCACATACCCCAAAGCACATATTTCAGGCAGAGTTCCAAAACTACCAGGGTTTTCCAGGGAACCAGTAGTAAATGCTGTTCAGGCTCAGGGAACCCATTGCTAGCAGGTCTGGGGCTTCCTGCCCCACCTTGTTCCCCTCCCAACTCCCAACAACTCCCTGACACCTGAGACCTGGGCTCCAGCTAACTACCCCAGAGCAAATGAGCTCCAGTACAAGGGAGGCAGAAGTAAACTGTTTAGCTTTTGGGAGAGCTAAAGATGGGAGAAGTTATAGACAGAATGAGGCAAGATAGAGTAGAAAAGGGAGAATTAGGACTGGCTAATGGGTGATGTAAAAGTGGGTAAGAATTACCCTGGGTCAGCGCAGGCTCAAGATGAACTCTGGATTCTTGGTAAGACCTTTCTCAGATTGTCTGTGCTCTAATCAAGCCTATCTGCCTACTACCTACAGCCCTTCAGGGCCCCACTTCACCTCATCTGCCTCCTGCCCTGCTTCTGTGGGTGGGATGATACTGGTAAAGGGAGGGCCCAGCCCAAAATGCAGCCAGAAGTGGTAGAAGCAAGTCTCCTAAGGGTGCTTGTGAAGGGCGGCCATCCCTAAATCCCCAGATGCTACCAACCAGAACTTATTTTCCCTTAGAAAAGTTACTGTACTGAGATTTTTATTTCCTACCTAGAATTAGGTGTTTGCCAGAAACCACTGGGCTTAAGGATACAAAGTCACAAAGAGTCTTTGGGAACCAGAGTTCACTGGCTCACAGCATACACATTTCCTGTGCTTAGAGGGGGCAACGAGTCTGCAGAAGCCTGCAGACACAGCAGAGCATGCACACACAGGACACTGAAGGAGACCTAGACACAGTACCCACAGGAAGTACACGCACAGATACAACCTGTGCCTGAGGAAACACCAGGCGAGCATAGATCCTGCACAGAGGGCTATAAAACATGTGTGCACACCCATCTGGGAGAGGCTTCAGTGTTCACTAGGGCCCGAATCACAGGCAACATAAAACCTCACGGTCTCTAAGAACCAGTGCTTGCAGACACAGGGCATTAGTACACTATGCATTGCACAGCATGAGGGAACCACATCACAGGTCTACAGAAGCTTGTGCTCACAAAGGGACCAGGAAGCCTGCTCAGAAGCACATTCACACTTAGGGCCTCAGGCAAGAGCAAAATGCCCGCAGCAATTCCTGCTCTCAAATGCAAAGTGTGTATGCATGCTGGGCTCAGCGAGGGTTGACAGCATATGCCAGGCTGCAGCAACAAGTAGAAAATGGACATACACTGTGCAAAGTAGGAGAGGAGGGCAGTCAGTGTCCGGGTTAGTCAAATTGACTACAAGTGTAAGCACACACATGCTACATTGAATGTGCACCATGCGGGCACACACATTCTCACACTGTGCTCCACAGGGGTCTGCAGGAGCACACAAGCATGGAGCATGCACACAGACTGCTTTCAGGAGAAACAGACTATCTACATGAGCCAGATCGTGTGCACACGCGTGCACACACACACACACACACCGTGCCCAGGAGGAAGGGGTAGAGAATAGACAACAAAAAGGCCCCAAAGGGCCAGAAGCACAACCTGAAGGGCTCCTCGCTTTCCTTCTGCAAGGAGAGAAAGAGCAGGAGAAAAAAAAGGGCAGAGAGGTTAGTAGATTCGGTCCTAGAGCACAAAACCCAAAGAAAATGCCAGCTAAACCTCAAGGAAAATGGAGGAGAGGTCGAGGTCTTCTGAACAACTGGGCAGTTCACAGAGACCAGCTTCCAGAATCCTTACCTCCTGTAGGTGCTGGCCCCTGTTTTTTAGTTTAGAACATCCTGGGTTTGGCTACTCAAACCAAAAGGACAAAGCCTACCTGGGGATTCCAGTCACCCTTTTCCCTTTTCCAAAGTGGCCTGTATGCAAGGTCAGAGCTACCAAGGTCACAGGACCACCTTTGCTTCCAAGGGTTATTCCCACAGGCTATCTGAACTGGCTGAGGACAGAGTGAAGTTCATTCCTTCCTCAGAAGCTACAGGAGCTCACTCTGGATCTGGGATAAATCCTCAAACCCCAAAGCCCTTTCCATTTTGTAACGCAAGGTTGGCCATGCATTTGCCCAGCAAGCCCTGGCCTGTTTCCCCAGAGCCTAAGTTAAGGTAGGCCATGTTAAGGCCAGAGCCAGCATGCTCAACAGCTGTAGTCCTGGGGGTATTAATGGGCCACTGCACTAACCGAAGCCACCATGATCTGGGTGATAAAACTATGACTGCAATCCCAGTCTAAATTTGATTATCTATCAAATCCAGAACAATGTTCCACAGGAAAATGACACTTCCAGAAGTATCCAAGTAAGCCACAGTAGTGGGAGAATCAAGTTCAGAGATTACGCCTTTCCTATTTGTTAAAGACTACATTGAATTCTAGGCCACACACACATACGTCCACAGAAGAATTTTTCTTCTCTAAGGAAAGTCCAACCACCTGGGCCCATCAGCTCCCCTCCACTTTCTTTTCTCTCCCTTTTAAAGGCTCACTAATATTACATAACAAGTAGAAGGGACAATCATAGAAACGAATTTATAAGTTCCTGATTCTTCAAGCTATTTATGATGACCTATTGGGTCACCAGAGCAGCTACAAGAAGGTGGGTGAGGTGAAAAAGACACTTCCTGGAGTGGGGACAGGTCTCTTCTACATCTACTCCCTACTTCCCTCCGGCCACTTTGTTTCCTTTGAAAAACAAAATTAGGCAAGAAACACTTTAACTGACACTGTGACTCAAATTGGAAAGGTTCCTCTCCTCCTCCACTATCTTAAATACATTGTACATATCATGTCAAAGTTACTTTGACTGAGTCCTTCTGTTCTTCCCAGAGTTCCCCATTATGCCTAAAGAATAAAATCCAATCTGTTGACAAGGCTATCAGGGCCTTGATCCTTGCGTGATCTGGCCTCTCATATCTACTGGGTGGGCTCAGACTTAATCAAGACTTAGCTCAAATGTTAAAGCCTCTATGAAAATTTCCTTATCTGCCTTCCTCTCAAAAGCAGAATTAGGTGCCTCTCCATCATGTGTCCCTGGTACCCATATTCTATGCACACATTTCTATGACCGTATGTCACCAGTACTGTTTCACTGTAATTGTCTGTATAAACATCTCCCTTTATACACTGTGAACTTCTTGAGAGCAAGAATTATATGTATTTATACACATACAAGGTCAGACAATTAAGTTCGCAAACTCATTCTAGAAAAAGTGCCACATACCTCATTGCTGATATCACTATGGTCACCTTCCAAGTACTCCCCTTGGGAAGCTATGCACTGATGCCAGTGCCTAGTCCACCCTTCAAAGCAATTTTGGAACTCTTTTTCTGGAATGGCCATCAGAGCTGTCATCGTATTACCCCTGATGTCCAAATGTCATCAAAATGTCTTCCTTTCAATATTTCCTTTATCTTCAGGTAAAGAAAGAAGTCATCGGGGCCAGATCAGGTGAGTAGGGAGGGTGTTCCAATACAGTTATTTGTTTACTGGCTAAAAACTCCCTCACAGACAGTGCCGTGTGAGCTGGTACATTGTTGTGATGCAAGAACCATGAATTGTTGGTGAAAAGTTCAGGTCATGTAATTTTTCTCACAGCCTTTTCAGCACTTCCAAAATAGTAAACTTGGTTAACTGTCCAGTTGGTACAAGTTTGCGAACATAATTGTCAGACCCTGTGTGTGTATGTGTATATACCTTTGTTAACCTGAGGGCTTAAGCACATCTCCTAGCACTTGTACGTAGTAAAAGGAACCTGAATTTTCAGGACATAGAAATCAACACCTTTTCTAAGAAAATGTCTCTTGTCCATCACCAGAGAAAAGACAGATCTCTTAGCTAGTAGCCTGTACCATTTTCCAGACCCCCCCAAAAACTGCTGTACTTTGTCCCACCCAATGGACATTTAGCTGTTCAGTTTGTCCCACCCAATGGACAAACATAAAAAAACCTTTTCTTGTTAGGAACCAAACTTTTTGGGCTTCCTAACTTCCTAAAATGCCTTAGGGTTTTTCCACTCAGATTTAGTTTTCAGTTTGAGTGACATATGTATAAGGAACACATGCTTTGCAGGAAAATCCCTGATCCCTACGAACGATCTCACTCTTCCAGATAGCCCACTTTATGAGCAAGTGACCTAATTCCTCATTGGTAAAACAATCTTAACTCCATTGTACCTGGGAGTCAAAAGATTTGAGGCACCCAGCTTATTCCG